CTGCATTTCGCGCACTCGACACGCACGATCTCCGCAGAGGGTTGCGCTTTCGATTGACGCTGTTCGTCCCGCCCTCCGCCTTTAAGAGAGAATTATAAAGTGGGGAACTGTTTTTTCATTAGGACATCTCCCGTGCTAGTTTTCCATACTCACACTTGCCTACTCATTGCATGCTTGCATGCTCAAAGCATGCTTGCGTACCCATCACTTGTATACTTACTTACACTGCGTGCTTACCGCGTGTCAGTGTGTATGTGTAAGTGTCAATGTCGAAGTGTCAGTGTATGTAGTGCGACTGTAGTGGAAGTGTCAGTGTGTAAGTGTAAGTGTCGAAGTGTCAGTGTTCAAAGGATTTTCCGGAAGAACCCTTCGCAATGCTTTCGGGAAAACCATGAACCTCTTTCCAAACACCAGCCAAAACGCTCAGAGAGCCATCTATGTCTCTCCTAAGGTCCATGACAACAAACAATCTCCTGCCCGCTCTGCTCCATCATCATCAGACCACAACCAAGATGCTACCAGTCCTTTGCCAACTGAGATTGACGCAACGGGCAGCACCTCTCAAGTTAGTGTGGAGTCACCAAAGTATGCAGATGAGCCCCTTTCACCTTGCAAGTTGACTCCTGATGGTGAAGAGTCAAAGGTGAACAGTGCTGCACTCCCACAAGAGAGTGGAGCATGTGATTGTCGAGGCAAACGTATAGATGACAATGAAGAACCAGACACGCTGTCACATGAACTTTCTGGTTACCAAAACTCGCTATTCACAAGTAAAGAACACGCTTCTATTAGGCAGGACCCCTTATCGGGACAAAGTGATGAGATGCAAGTTGACGCTGGTGCCACGACTTCTGTTGAAAGCAATGGGCGACACAAAGACTCCATCACTAGCCTAGGAGAGGGACATGGGCTAGACCTTGGTAAGCCCTTATAATGCTAAACATATCAAAATGAAAACTGGTGCTTACAGGCTGTAAAATTGGTGCATTTCCTGGTGTGTGGTCTGGTGTGCGGCAATGTTTGTCAATTGTGTATGGTTTTATATTTATCAAGGTCAACATAAAAAGTTGCGCAAACCTGGGTGTTGAGACGAATGTGGCTTCATTGAATGGTCAAAGGGCGGTGCTAAACCTGGTGTTGAAATGGATGTTGATGAGTTGAATGGTCAAAAGATTGCGCAAAAACTGGTGTTGAAACAGAAGGGGCTTCATTGCATGGTCCAAGGAGGTGTAAAACTTAGTGTCGATAGTGTCGAAACAACCGTGGAGTCCCAAATCAAAGCACCAGAGATGAAATACAAGATAAATACTAGATCAGCGCTTTGAGATGCGCTGTGCTTTTTCCAGATTTGCAGTGAATGCCTGGCAGGCTTGTCGTCATACACGCGCAGAAGATTTAAAGTCAAAGTCGTGTTCCCACATGCATGTGCCGGACAAATGTTCCGATTTTGGTGATATGATATGATATGTATGATAAGATACGTTGTACTGTGTACGGTACCAGAAAAATCTTGCCCGAACTTGCTTCCGCTTGATGCATTAGCAAAGCCTGCCATGTTGGCAAATTTATATCGGCGGCAGTGTCATGACCGATCCAGAAGCCCCAGCAGCTCTCGAAGAGGTCGGGAAGAGGTCGGGAATAGGTCGGGAAGAGGTCGGGAATAGGTCGGGAAGAGGTCGGGAAGAGGTCGGGAAGAGGTCAGCGGTGCCGGGACTGTCCAGCAGCTTTGGCGAGCAGTGACAGAGTATTTCATCTGCAGTCGTGCAACTGGACCCATGGCCCATGGAGAGGGCACATGCTGTTCAAGGTTCTCCCATTCGAAGCAAGGGTTGTTTCAACTGCGGAGACGCTGGTCATATGCAATCAGAGTACCCCAAACCAAAACGCTGCAAACACTGCGGGAAGAGCGGCCATGTGGCCTCAGATTGTTGGGAGAAGCATCCTGACAAGAGACCATCCAAGAACACCAAGGACATTGGGGCAGACACTGGGAAGAAGCCTTTTCCTTCCAAGGGTAAAGGTAAAGGGAAAGGTAAAAGCAAAGGAAAAGGCAGGGGCAAGAAGGGCAAGCTTCGCGAGGTTGAGGGTGACGAAGGTGACTGGGAAGAGGCTGAGTGGGAAGAGTTTGACCTTGAAGAACCTGAGACTGAGGAGGGCCAAGTGGCCATGGTTGTCAGGTCAAAGCCTGGAGAGGTTTCAAGTGCTGTACCGGGGAGTTCGAGCACTGAGGGGTCAGGGTTTTCCACCAGTGAGCCGGTAGTTCATAGTGTCACTCATCCTCTTGAGTACTTGTTGAGCACTCAGGGCTTGTGTTCGACTGGTTTGAAACTGTGCAGTTTCGGAAGGGGCCGAAAAATTGATCCAACAATGCTCGCAAAAGAAAACAATGTGTGACAAACCGGTTCAAAAATGTAGTATTTACGGCCACTTTTTTACGCCCTCTTGGAGAGCCACTGGTGCGGGCAGTTGTTGTGAAAGCTGCCAGAAACATCACTATTCAGCGACTTGAATCAACTACTCATTGGTCTGAGGATTGCAACGGTCAAACCAATCTGTGGGAAACTGTACTCCGCTGCCAGAACCTCCGAAAAACGTGGATAATAGACGTGACCTCACGGTAAACTTGCACTTCGGGCACGTACTCCCGGGGGCCGTAAATTTGCCGGCAAGAATTTCAAGGTTTTGGAGGCCACAATCAGCTTCTAGAATCCCTCTTCTTTTCTGCAAATGAAGCTTCAAACATGGCTCATCTGAAACAAATAGTAAACTGCACAATGTGCATGATCGACGCAAAACTTAAAGATGGACGTTCATGAAGTGGATGAATACTTTGTAGTAGAGAACCTTTATTTTTTTCAGGGGGTCTGAATATACTAATTTCGGCGCGTTTTGTACAATGAACAAAAATACATGCATTTTGCAATCATGAAAACATATTGAAACATAGACTGTTGAGAGGAGTCGTTTGATTGCGTTTCATGGACCCAGTGATGCAAATGAAACGATAATGAAAGGACAGCCAGGCATGCCTGAAATATAAAACTATGTGACTATGTATTTCCCCTTCCATGGTTTCTCCCACTCCCATTCCTCTCCCAGACACATCTCATGATGCATAATATGCAATTTTCGCGGATGGACATTGACATTGGCAAAAATTTTTGAAAGGAAAGAACAGGACATGACCAAAATGTTTATTTTTTCCATTTTGCGTGTGTTCCAGCTTGAACAACCAACAGACTGCATGTGACATTGAAGCCGCTTGGTTCGCCATGGTTCTAACCAATGTATATATCACTGTCTGAATGGTTTCACATGTCCACAACCAAAATCAACATCTTATTGTAGCTAAAATTTGAGACTTAAACATTTTGTGCGGTGCAGATTTCCACATCCGCCTGAAAAGAAAGGTATTGTTCACCTTGGTGTGTTTCGAAGATACCATCATTCTGTAACTTTTCAGCCGAATACTTCTGCATGAAATGGTTGCAGTTGCTGCCGGTGGTGGCCTGCTGTGGCGTCGAACAGATGCGAAAGAGGCACGGTTTGTTTCCAGATGGTTGGATGCGACGATGTGACTCAGTCTGGCGCCAACAGTGCAGGCATCAAATTTCTTGCCAAATTTACAGGCTGGTTGCACGATTGCAGTTCCTGAGACAACTGCCAGAAGACCAAAACCATGTACACACGTTCTTCTGCTTGCAGGTGGACTCCGCGACATCCTCGTTTCAAACTCGATTTAGCCGTTCGGTTGAATTTACATCAGTTTGAAGAACATGAATGAGACCAAATGATGCAAACCCGCTGCAAACCAGAATAACATTTTAGAAGTGTGACTGACACAGCTTTGTCGTTGAGGTGCTGCGATTGCCACCTCTGCTGTAGACAGTGTTGCAAAGTCGATTTCTAGTGCGCTCGGAGCCGTTCAAGATGGCATGAGAGCACAGATTGAGAAACCTTTTGTGGGTGACTTCTTGCAGCAGAATCCATTGTTAGCTGATGAGAGCTTTGGGGAGCCAGCGGTGGAGACACATGGGAGTGATGAGCACCTGCTGAAGTATGGAGGTCGCCTTTTGGGCGGTTCCACAGCACAAGATGGTGACAGGATGAAGAAAGCTGCTGCAGCGCAGGAGACATTGGTGCGACAAGCAACAATCCTCGACGGCTGCCTGGACGGGGGACAGTATTTGCCTGTCTTCTACATGCTAAAAGTCCGAGGCTCAGAATGCAGAACATGCAGCGCTGATTCAACGCCTGGCCTTAGGATGAAATGGTCCTGAGCCCTGTGGACATTTCCCTCACGCTTGGCTTCACTGCCACACCGTTTATCTTCAAGCCTGGCCTGGCTGTGGCCAGTGACCGGATGCCAATCTTCGGCCGAAAGAGAACTCCTTATTTGGTCTACACCTCAGAGATGCGCTGAGAGGTTTTAAGTTGAAAGGGGGAAGGTTGGCATGTATTGATTGTACTAATTCTTCAGGCTGGAAGCATGCTGCTGGTTGCTGGTACCTATGCGGGTGCAAGCTTGGCGCAAAGCTACGCTGGCTTGCTGGCCAGCCATCAAATGTCTTATATTCTTATTTCTGAAATAATTTCATGGCACATTTTCTGTAGAGTCTAGAGGTCAAGCTGATTGATGGTTTGGTTATATAGTTTGGGAGCAGCCTCGAATGAGACTCCATCGTTTTTACAAACTGCATTGGGAATGGCAGATGTACTAGAAATCAGATGCATTTTCAATGATTGCTTTGCGCAGGGCTTTCTTTCCTTGAACACCTTCAGTCGCTGCCTAATGTCGGCAGTGCTGCCGTGCCCCGAGATCCTTGCACCAATCGTGCGCAAGTTTCGGCAGTCTCGCATTTTTTGGAGTCCTAGTGACTGTGGGTTCACCAGTGAAACAGCTCAGGCAAGGTATGGTTGTGGAAGTCGCTCGGCAACAAGGTTGGAGACTTATCATCGTTGCAGTGTTTGGGATGCAGTGATGATAAAGTTTGTGGTTGCTCGAGTGAAGCACTATGTCAGCTGTGCGTCAGCATGATGTGTCTAAAGATTGCTTACGCAGCTGTAATATGTTGCCATTTGGCTCAGAAGAAGAAAACATCCCACTCACATATTCTTTTCCCAGTGAGTGTGCTGGTGCCTCAGTTTGTTCAAAGAACCCCTTGAATTGGGCACACATGGCACTGTCCGAGGCCATGATGCGTGCAGTACGTCGATTCCCAGTATCCAAGGCCAGAGTGTGTGTTCTCTCACCTCATGCTGCAAGATGCTGGTGTTGGAAGGCTTGCAGCTGCGTTGCAATGATTCTTTTTTGCAGTTCATTTTGAGGTGTTTCCACGCAGCTGCTTCCAACATGTGAAAAGCTTAAAGGGATTTCTCAACTCAAGTTTTGCAAAAGTCTAGAAACAGTTTCATACATGGCAGACGCTCCTTTACTGGGTCCAAGGTAGGAGCTCCTAAGCTTAGTAGCTTACCCTAGTTACCAGTGATCGCCAAGAATTTCTGGCTAAATCTTACCCGATTCTCCTGCCCACCCAAAATCTAGGAACCCAATTACTGTACTTTGACTGATCCCCACCCGAAGAGGCGACTTGGAAGAAAGCAGGGCACATGTATTGACAAATTGACAAACTATGCTGACAAACGCTGCCTGACATGTGCATTGACACATTGACACAATGTTCGGACATATTTTCTGGCATGAATTCTGGCATGTGTTCTGACATGTGCCCTGCCATCAAGTCTGACTTGTGTTCTGACGTATCTTGTGGAATGTACTTCTGACAGACGTTCTGACATGTGTTCTCGCATCAAATCTGGTATGTGTTCTGAATTGTGTTATGGGACATTTGTTCTGCCATCAAACCTGCAATGTGTTCCTACATTTGTTCCGATATGATATGTGTTCTGTCGCCTTGTCTCTGACATGTCTTCGGACATTTGTTCTGATGCGTGTTCTGGTGAAAACTGGCAAAAGGACGGTCCATGCCAGCCCAGAGGACCAACGGAGGGAAGGAGAGGACGAGGCCGAGGAGGGTGGAGGGTGGAGGGCAGATGGAGGCGGCAATCAAGGAAGCCGTCCGCCCTCACGTGCGCAGATAGCTTCCTTGAAGAACCTTGAGTACCTAAGCCCAGTGGCTATTGACCTCTTTACCTACTTCACCTACTCTAACTCCTTCTGGTGGCCGACACTCCAAAAAAGTGCATCAATAAACAAACAAGAGCAAAAACATAGTGACATAGTGTGTTTTTGTTTGCATAGGCCTCTGGCCTGGAATGTGCCGAGGCCAGGGCCTTTGCAGCTTCGCCGGAGGTGCCAAAATCTCTTGTTCAACTTCGCTCCATGTTGTGTTTTCTGAGGATAGATTTGATACTTCAACTTATCAATGATAGTGGACCAGTTGGTCTCAGGAGTTATTGACCTTACTTTCTACCACCTCACTGTGCCAACCGTCAGCCTGAAACAAAGATTGGTCTGGCAGAGTTGCAGTGCGACCAGCGTGAGGCGTTCAAGGCAGCCTACGAAGCCCACGTGGCCGAGCGCGCGGCACAAGGTATTCCACCCTTGGCGCTGGATTCCAGCCAAGCCGAGAGTGTGGTGGAGATGCTGAAGAAGGCTTGGGGGAACGTTTTCTTGATTTTGGAACTAGTTGGTGCCATGAGTTTGTTTGTTTGTTTGTTCGTGCGATCTTGAGAGGCACCAGCTGATGGTGCCTTTTATGTGGATCTCCTGCGAAACAGGGTCAACCCTGGTGTGAGGGCATCCTAGAGTGCGCATGCCACATGAATACCGAAGCTGGGCTGGGAATCATCAAGCACACTCAAGTCCATGCGGCCTCAGGTTGATGACTCCAGCTGTGTGAAGGCAAACTTTCTGCGTGTGCCACTCAGATGACCACTCTGTTAAGTTTACCTCAAAATCTAGGAACCAAATGATTAGTCCCCCGCCCTCAGGCAGGGGGAGCTTCCTTGAAGAAGCGTGAACTATCCTGCGTCCTACCTGGAAGCTAACTTAGCCTAGTAGTGAACTAGTTTCGCCTTACTTACTGTAATGAAGTAGGCGCGGGCTCTAAAAAATCATGATTTGTGCCCAGGCGACGTGATGCATGGCAAGGTTTCCACACCGCTGATCTCAAAGGTTGATGCAGTCTGACCCTCAAGGTTAGTCAATGTCTATCCTATTGTAATGTTTGTCCTATTGTTTCTCACTCCTATCTATATATATATACCCCATTTTCTATTGCATGACCCAGATACATAGACAGCCAATTGAGGCCTGGTCATGTGCTCAGTTGGAACCAAGGTGGAAATGCTCGGATGGATGCAAGGTGGCTACAACGTTGCACCTTTGGTCGAAGCCTTGGATCTTGATCAGGACGGGAAATGAATGGCAGATGCGTCGCAGATGGATGGCAAGATACTTGGATGGTTCCTCTCAATACCCGTGATGGCGGGGAAGGGTTTGTGGCCCACAGGTTCATTGAGCAAACTTTGTTTTGAATGCATACCTCCATCCGCTTACTCGGTTCTGCGGACAGGAGATTGCTGACGCAGCAGCAACCGGTCTGAGTAGAATGTTGCCAGGTTGCACGTGGGACTTCTTTTTCTGTGCTCAATTTGATAGGACATTCGCCAGTGGGCAGCCTTTTTGGATGCACATTCCTGAATCTAATGGTCTAAGGATCCTGATGTTCGATGCATTCTACGATGTGGAGGAGAAGATGAAGAAGGGAAATCCAGTGGCAAAGAAGGTGCCAATCCTGCGCCCACTCTTTTGCAGCATTTTCAAATTTGTCGTGTGACTGCAGACTGTGGCCGAGCCTGCAAATTTGCCCTTCAGGTCATCGAATCCTGGGCCAATGCTGAGTGGTTTACAAAACGACCAGAAGTACCAGAGAAGGTGGGCACACAACCAGCGGTTCTGCCACTGGTGTCTCACTTTCTTTGTTGGAGAGTCCGCAGTTTCTCCGAGCGGCGGTGCAGGTGACCCTTTGCGTTTTCAAAGTGACGGGAGAGACCAACACTGACGATCTCTCGCCAGCTCCAGATGCCTGGTCCCGTCCTGATATCCCTTTGCATGCTCTGGCCATGTTGCAGCTTGGCAAATTTTCGCATGGTTCTGGGCATCTTTGGATCTTTACTTACTGTTTTGATTAATATCATCACCATTGCAATTAGAAAGCCTATCAGTCACTGAGTGTGTTTCCTGACTAGTCAGAGTATTTGTGCTCTTGGTCTCTAAGGAAGTTCCCTCGCGATGGGATCACCAATGCCCCTGAACAGATTGCTGACTTGAAGAAGCATCTTGACCAAATGTGCTGCTGACCTTTGTGTAATATTGCGGTGGACGAGAACAGATTCATTATTTGCTTTGTGCAATCTTATGTTGCGAGGGCCTCCACCTAATAGCGTCCTTGTTACTAGTAGTAATGGCCTCCAACCTAATAGCAGTGGCCTCCCCCTAGTAGCGTCCTTGTTATTCTAACATTTGTATGCTTGAAGCACCTTGAAGCTGCCAGGAAGGGCCATCAGTTGGCCTATGTGGGCGACGTGGTGGGCACAGGCTCCTCGCGCAAGTCAGCCACCAACTCCATCTTGTGGTACATGGGTCTGATGCCCAGATGTCTTCTTTGCAACAGGAACGAAAGCACCATTCTGAGATAATTGCAGTAGACTTCCATGATTCTTGCTCGGTTGAATTTCATCCAAATGGCAACTGTAGACTGTCGTGATGGATCCTGTGATTCCAGGCCAGGATATTCCTTGTGCCCCCAACAAGCGCACTGGTGGCTTTGTGCTTGGTAGTGTCATTGCTCCCATCTTTTTCAATACCATGGAAGATTCTGGTGCTTTGCCGCTGGAGATGGATGTGAAGGATTTGGCTATGGGCGATTTGATCGATCTCTGTGTGTATGAGCAGGCTATCAAGAAACATGGCACAAATGATGTGATCACAAAGTTTGACCTGAAGCACGAGCTGATGCTGGACCAGGCCTTTTCATTTATGTAAATGCAAAAAGTTAGGTTTTTCCCTCCAAAGGAACCACATCATTAGCGTGAGCTATTCCACGCCCATGTGGAGTAGCTTAAGTAGCTAGCAGCTAGAAGATTCCTCCCTTACTTCATTGAGTAAGGGCGGGCTTTAAAGAGTCGGTTTACGTTTACCTGTTTACACTTTTTTGTGCTATGTGAGAAGAGCAGATCCTGGATGTCAGGTCCGAGCTGGTGGCCGTATTCCTTTGATTATTGGTCGTGGTCTCACCAACAGGGCTCGTGAGAGCATGAGCTTGGGACCGACCACCACTTTCAAGCAGATGGCCCAGCCAGAGGTGAATGTGAAGGGATTCTCCTTGGCACAGAAGATGGTGGGAAAGGCCTGCGGCGTGGACGGTGTGGTACCAGGAGCCTACTGCGAGCCTCGAATGGGGACGGTTGGCTCCCAGGACACCACAGGCCCCATGACGCGTGATGAGCTGAAGGACTTGGCCTGCCTCGGTTTCCAGGCTGACCTGGTGATGCAGTCCTTCTGCCATACGGCAGCATACCCCAAGCCAGTGGACGTGCCTCTCTGGCATTAATATCATATTTGTTGCAGTGGGGCCAGACTTTTGTAGCAACATGGTTGAAAAAAACAATTGGAACGATGCAAGATGTAGCATGCGTGAGCAGCGAAAGTAAAAGCACTTCATAGATCATCCCAGAAACTTGTGTGACATGAGTCATAGTCATTCTCAACTCCTGCCCCTGCCTTTGTGCCACAAGGTGATCACCCATCGCACCCTGCCCAAGTTCATCGCTGATCGTGCCGGTGTGGCACTGCGCCCGGGTGATGGGATTATTCACAGCTGGCTGAACCGAATGCTCCTGCCCGACGAGGTCGGCACAGGCCCAGAACTTTCCCTTTTGGATATTTGTCATATATGACAAAAGGACACCTTTTCAGTCCATTCTGATCCTGGCCTGCTGTCCTGAGCTGTGACAGGCGGAGATTCGCACACCCGCTTCCCACTGGGAATTTCTTTCCCAGCTGGCTCCGGCCTCGTTGCCTTCGCCGCTGCCACTGGTGTCATGCCTCTGAACATGCCAGAGTCAGTCTTGGTGCGCTTCAGTGGTAGCTTGGCATGAACAGCTTCTCCATAAAGCCATAGAAGGTGAACAGAATAGCCTTGCTGGATTTCTTTTAAGCTTTTTTTGAGGTGCTGGTATTGTATTCAAAAGATCCCGCTGCGCAATGTTTGGGTGTCGGGTAGTCCTTAGACGTTCGTGGTAATCCCCTGGTTTCTCACCACGCCCATCGACGAATCGACAGCATGACCAGAAGGTAAATCTTGTTGGTACATGTCGCTGCATTCCCATCATCCTTGAAGGCAAGATGCAGCCGGGTGTGACTCTGCGCGACTTGGTCCATGCTATTCCTTACTACGCCATTCAACAGGCCATTGGTTTTGTACGTATTTTGCAGCTCAAAATCGAGGCAGCCAGGTCGCTGGAGCCATGGCAGAAATTCAATAGTTAACGGATTATATAACAGGCCTCAAAACCAGTTGCTGAATGCTGGGAGGGCCTCCTTACTGTGGAGAAGAAGGGGAAGAAGAACATTTTCAATGGCCGCATCCTTGAGATTGAGGGTCTTCCGGATTTGTAGCTCAGAAGCACTTGCCGGAGTTGGAAATCTGCACGATCGAGCCACTCGAAGACTTCATTTTTGACCGGGAAGTCAACCCACAAGATTTATTGGTTGGGGTTTCCGTTTATCCTCAGCATGACTGAGATATTAGAGTTTGTTTCAATAGCAGTGGGACTCCAGGACCCTCCATCAGGACAAACAGGATTAGGTGCGCCGCAAAGCCTGCTGTTGCCACAGAGTCATATGTCTGCAATTCCTAAAGCGTGTGTACTGACGCTTTAGGGGTAGAGAAATAGTTGGGAGATGTTGGGAGCTCCTTTTGTTTTCTCCTTTCCAGTCCGTGGTGTGTGGTAGTGGTGCTTCCACTTCTTTTCTTTTCAGGAAGTGCGAACAAGCCTTTGAGCTGTCTGACGCCTCGGCAGAGCGATCTGCAGCAGGATGCACCATCAAGTTGAACAAGGAGCTGCAAAGCCGCGGGAGATCTGGTGTTTTAGATTCCTGCAGCCCTCGAACTTCAACCGGTGAACTTTTAGCAAAAGCGTATAGTTCAAAAATGTTCCAAGAGTCTTTCTTTGGACATGAACGTTTGGGTGCCTGCTCAGAAAAGGCCGATGAAGGCAGCTAGAGTTGGCAGTGCTGGTTGAAGTTCAATCAGGTCTCAGCATGTCTTTGCAGTCACTGTGTCAGGGAAGGCGGAACTCCCTTTGATGGATTAGAAAAGAAGTTCCTGCGGTTCACGAGTCTTTTTCGAGCAACAACGGTTGGGACAGAATCTTCATTTGCCTTCACTTTTTGAAAGACACCTCACATGAAGATGTGCAAAGCTGAATTGGTCACGGCCATGGTTCTGGCAGTTGGCTTGGAGTAGTTTCTGCAAAACGATGATGACAGTAATGTGTACATTGCCAAGATGTGGAAGTGGTGGTAGTGTCGCACACAGATATCATTTTGTGCTTTTATCTATCCGGTGTGAATCAGGTTCTGTTTCTTGCCAAGGGTTCTTCAGGAAGCTCCTCCTGCCAAAGCCTGCGAAGAAAAACTTCTTGAAGAAGCCTCACTTCCAACCAATAACAAGCTCTAAGAGTCCAAGATTCCTTACCTCTCTGATCAATTTTTCGCCAACAAAGAAAACACATAAAACATCCTAGTCACGAATGGTTACCTCAGACCTCAGACACCTTGAGCTCAATTAGCCTTAGCTTTGGGAGGGGAATCCTCCCAAATGACCTGATTTTTGGATCTCCACAAAGTTCAGTTCTTCACTTTGATCCCTTGTGGGTTCAAGCCTTCCTGGGATGTGTCATTCAATCTCTCAAAGGTCGTCTCATCGGATTCGGATCCAGCTTGTCGACTTCATGTACTCTCTGCTTCCTGCAACTCACTTTTTGCCTTTCACTCCGCATGCTTTTTCTTGACCGCATTTGTCATGGTTTTCTGCTGCTTTGCCTTTTGTTTGCTTTGCTGCTGGTTAGCTGCTGCTGGTGGCTGGTCTGTGACTTGTCCCCTGGTCTGCTGGTGCTACTGCTGGTTCGCTGGGTTTGTTCGAGTGCACCCCATAACCCGTTCAATTATGTGTTTGGGGGTGCGCTCGCACCTAAATGTAGGAGCTTAATTTTTCTTTTGTAAAGCTACCACCAGCTCTCAAGTCGCTCAATGCCAACTTGGCCACACAGGAGCCTGTGATTGAGTACTTGAAATCCAACATCACGAGCCTTGGCCGCCCGAGCGCTCGATCAGAGCGTGTGAAGACTATTGGCACTTTCAGCAAAGTCAAAGTGGATCTTTGAACATTTTCAGAAGCCGACAATGTGAGAAAATGAGGAGATCCGACCCTCCAGCCCCACTATCGGCTGCCAAGGCTGTTGAAGTGGATGATCTCCCAGGGCTACAGCGATCCACGAACCTTGGCGCGACGTGTGACGAAGATGGAGGAATGGTTGAAGGCGCCCGAGCTTATGGAGGCCCGGAAGATGGGTCAGAGGAGTACAGGAGCGGTGGAGAGGTGGAGAGGTGATGGTTACGGTTACAGCTGGGAGAGTCCAGTTACAGCAGGCGAATGTGTACTTTCTTCAGTCCTGCAACTATCGTCTCTAAGAGCTTGGGAATGCTTGTGAAGAATCCTGTGCTTGATTAGGCCGACAAGGAGGCTGAGTACGCAGCGGTGATCGACATTAACTTGGACGATCTTAAGGATGGGCTCTGCGGGGCTGTGGGGCCCGTGGGGCAGTTGAGAATGGGAAGATCCATGGGATGGTGAGTGAGAGTTGAAGCAGCCGGAAGATGATTGAACTTGCCCATTTCCTTGAATCGAGATGAAACGAGATATATAAGACAAGCAGCGCAAGCGGCAGGAGCCCATCCTGTGTTGCCCCAATGATCCAGATGATGCCAAGAAGCTCTCGGAGGCAAGCTATCCGGCAGATGGGATGTGTTGTGACTTACCTTTAAGACTTTGCTGTGCTTTTGCCACGCTGTTTACTTTTTGTAAAGATTCGATGACGCGCGTTGAACATCTACTCACCTGAGATCGGCACCAACAACATTGATGAAGTCTTCATTGGCTCCTGCATGACGCCATTCGGTTGCACTGCACAGGACAAGTATAGACAGACAAGTGAATCCGAGCTTCCCAAGTGGCACCACCCTCGGGGCGTTTTGCCTTCTGAAACTTCCGCACGGATGTGGCGACACGGTTTGAGCTGAGGAACATTGGCCAGGGGCTCAGAGGGGCTCAGAGGGGCTCAGAGGGGCTCAGAGGGTCTCAGAGGGGCTCAGAGAGGCTCTCAGAAAACCTCAGAAGGGCTCAAGGTTTCCAGAAACTTGTTTGTGGCCTCTTCACCTGTTCTTCTTGTGCGGCCATGAAGGCCACTACCGCGCTGCGGGCAAGATGCTGAGCCAGTTTGAGGGACAGCTTGGAACTCGCTTGTGGATTGCCCCACCCACCAAGATGGATGAGGAGGGCATTGAACATGTTGTGTGCAGCGTGGGACGTGTTCCTTGTTTGATTTGATTGGATGGACAGGATTACAAGGAATGAACATGTAGTGTAAGGCTCGTGGACATGTGAAGGACGGTAGCAATGGCACACTTTATATGTACAAAAAACATATATATATATATATACACACATTGATTGTGAGACTTGTGTCAGGAGCAGTTGACCAAGGAGGGCTACTACTCCATCTATGGCAAGGCCGGAGCCAGGACCGAAATGCCAGGATGCTCGCTTTGCATGGGCAACCAGGCTGGGATGATGGGAGGGAGCATTGAATCATTGATGTTCAAGTTTCATCAAATGAGCATGATGACTATGTTTCGTGGAAGACGCGGACAATGATGTTGTTGGAGGCACGCGTTGCAGACAATGCCACTGTTGTCTCCACTTCTACACGCAACTTCCCCAATCGCCTGGGAAAGGGTGGCGTCCTCAAGTGTGTTTTCTTGTGTTGGAGATGCCGGGCAGAGAGCGACACAAGCTTTTTGGCATTTTGCAGCGTTCATTTGTTGGACATGAGCCGCTAAACCACTCTTGGTTGATTTCCCCTATCAGGCGCGAATGTCTTCCTGGCTTCTGCAGAGCTGGCATCCGTGGCTGCCATTCTTGGCAGACTGCCAACCCCAGAGGTCTCCTGACATTCAAGCTGCATTCCAGGGCAGTCAGCAGCAACAACACGGTAGTAGCGGGTTGTACCCCTGCCACATCTCACTTTCACAAGTGCTTTAGGAACCTTCACAGGTCAAGTGCAACCTGTGAGGAGTACCTGAAGTACCACACCGAGCTGGCCAAGAACGAGGATTCGATCTACCAGTACCTGAATTTCGACCAGGCTTGCTAGGGGCTCTGAATGCACCACCTCAGAACGAGGGCAGCCCACTGCATATTCTGTGCATTTTGGTGAGTCAAGCAGGGTGACCTGGTTCTGATCCACAGCCACCTCTTATACAATCGGACAAGAGCTGTTTTGAGAGTGTGTGCACTATTTGAAATTGGATTTCTAGTTGTTTCAAGCATCAAAATGATGATAGGTGGGGATTGGCGTCACAACGCCCCTTTGTCAAGATAAGGCAGTCAACAGATTGATTGACCAAGGTGGAGGAATATGTGGAGAAGGCAAACTCAGTGGACATGAGCGCGCATCAGTGACAAGACACGGAAGGCCAGCTTGGATGATTGTTCCCAGAATTTACTATATACTGTAGCTTCGACTCTTGGGGTAGCAAAGAATTTTGATAGGGTAGGCAGATGTTGCCAATGTTTTTACCAAGAATTCCGCTTACCTTTGCAAGGCTAGCTCCAATGTCCGCCGTTCAAGCCGTTTGGCCTGCAGTCGATATTCCACAGCCAGCCGTGGGGAACTCATGTTGCTCCTTGAAAGACGAAGTATGCAGCTCAGGATCTTGTGGACACACTTGGAGTAGTGATGCGTGACCTTTTGCACAGAGGCTTATACTGGATGTACACTAGTTGCAGTCAAGATTGTGCTAGTTTCGTTCCACTTTCTCTCTGAATTTGGACCATCATTACCATCATATCTATGACTGTAAGATTACTGTTCTACACATATATAAATATATATACCTTGACAGCGGTTTTGCGTCGTTTGCCGGTGCGATTGCTTACCCGCAGTTTCGACCATATTTTAATGTTCCGTACCCACTCATTGATTGCCCCTTTGTCAGGAGCGGGAAAAAGACTTTTGACCAACGTTTGATGTCTTATTGAACTCACTGCCATCATTGTCATTGGCACTTTGCATCTCTGTGTCTATCAATCTGACTCAATTTTGTGGGATGATTTCAGCATTTGGCATGTGGGTCTATATATATATATAACTTGGCTCAAAGGTTTCTTCTGAGACCAGTATCCATTGTTCACAGTTCACAGTGCTTCGCATATTAGATACTAGGACTGCCTGAGCAAATGGGCTTCAGGCGCTTTTGGGCTTTGCTTGCAGTTGCAGCGGCCACCGAGCTGGCCGAAGATGATGAGTGCGCAGTTGGGTCAGAGTGTGCATTGAATGCAATGCAGCTCCGTGGCCTCCTGAAGTCTGAGGAGGCATCCAACAGCTCTGAGAGTCAAGATGACCCGAAATGCGCAAGCCTAAATGACCCGGCCAATTCCGTTTGTGCGCCCGTTGTGCGTTGGGCATCAAAAGGAGGCCGATATGACCCGCATGCTGACAACTGGTTCAAGGACATGCAGGCGATTTCTGGTGTGGATTACAAATCCGCAAGCGTGGGAGACTGGCAGAAGCTCTATTTTTGTGCGCCTCCGGGTGGAAAACAATGCGGAACACCTCCATGCCAGTGCAGCAACCCTCCATGCGGCGTTTGCTTCCAAGGAAATGCGGCCACAGGTGCCAACAAAGCTGATTGCGATAGCCCGGGCAAAATTTCCTGCCAGCCGCCGAAGAAAGCCTTGGACTACAATGGCATGGCATGGGATGATATGACAGTGTCTGGTGTGGGCCCCTTCCACGTCTTTGCCATTGGCCTCTCGATGAAGTCATGTTTGGTTGATGGTTGGCCGTTGTAGAATTTTCAAAGGACACATCGTTGATGCAATTAGTAGAAGCCTGCGGTCACCATGCTTTTCCATAGCTCCGCTCAGGTGATTGGGGAGGCATGGATGGTTCCCTCAGGCCTATTGAGGGCAGGCCGGAGTTGATCGCATATCCACAGGGTGCCAAGTCCGGACCAAGCGTCTTTCCTCGAACGCGATGGAACAAGCAACACACCAAGGAGCATTTTTCTTTTGTGCAAAACCACATTTGTCACACGGTTTTTGGTTTCAAAAGGACTCGAGTGCCACGGAAGCCCGAAAAGGAGCTCTGCGACCACAAGGCCTTTGTCAGATGCTACACGACGATGGGTGTTGGCTGCGACCCTGGATGTGGCTTCGTGAAGGGCATTGATGACCAGCCACAAACCCTTGTTGCCTCAGCCATGAAGATGCATGCTGCGAAGAAGGACTTGATATGAGATGAAATGCCGTGTACGGGTCAAGTTGCAGCGTTACAGCGTTTCATGTTCAACTCTGGTTCCTTACGTTCTACTGCATTTGATGGAACAAATGCAGGCATGTGAAGAAGAGATTGGAGCGCCATTTGACCTGTTGTAAGTTTCCAACATCCTGCCTTCATCGAGGATCCTGCCTTCATCCTGAATGTTGGAGACAACTTCTATTGGGGTGGCATTGAGAAGAACTGTGGAACCCCCATGAACGAGCTGAGCTACACGGCGCACCATCAGTTTGACCAGATCTTTGAGGGAATCTACCAGGGGCAAGGCCTGAGCGGCAAGGTGGGGACTGACAAGCGAGTTCAAATTGTATTCGGCTTTCTCAGCTTAAGCAAGCTCGGATACAATTAGAAATCATATAGAGACATCCAGCTTTGTTCTGAGAGATGGACTGAAGATTTAAGGAACAGTTTATTCTAGTTTGAGATTGGTCATCTTTCCTTCCCTTCACAAGACAGAACACTTCTTTGCCAGGTCTGGCTGAGCGTCCTGGGGAATCATGACTGGGGAGGCCGTGTTTTCAACAATGGCTGGGATCAGCAAATTGCCTACACCTGGAAGAGTGCACGATGGAGATTGCCTGCGGCATATTGGAGTGACCACGCTTTGCTAAGTGAAGCAGTCACAGATTGTTTTGAACTTTTTCCTTGAAGAGGCAATGACTGTAAAGTAATGATTACAGTAGAAGGATTCTTGTTTCAGGGACTTGGCTTTGCTGGAAAGCCTAGGCCAGCACGTGGACTTCCCAGATGCTGGATTTACTATGGACATTTTCATGGTGGACTCCAACGCCATGGATGCAAAAGACTTAGACAAGGACTCGGAACACAACATTTGCGGAGCAGCTCACAATCCTCCTGGAGCCAATTGCGCGGCTGCAGGCTGGCTCTGAACTTGCGCGCAAGGCTCTAAAAGACGAGAGCTACAGAAACACATCATACAAACCGTGTCTCATTGTTTCTTGTGAGCTTAAAGGAATAGTGCCCTCAGGGGGAGCTTCCTTGAAGACGCGTGAGCTATCCTGCGTCCTAGCTAGTAGCAGTAGCAGGTTTGTTTAGCTCTTACTTAGTTACAGTAAGTAGTAGGGGGGCAGAGCGGCCTTTAAAACACCGCAGTTTGCACTACTTACTTCGTTTGCATCGCGGCGCATGTTTGATGAAGTGAAGGTGGCCCTGAATCACTGGCCACTTGCAAGCAGTGGTTCTGGGACCTTTGGGCGGCCAACCAGGCCAGGTGCCACATGTTCAGCTGTGGCCGGGTTCCTTTCACGCGGCTGCGGGGGCTTGTCAATGCTAATGTGATTTGTAGTGATGCATTTCGATGCGTGGTAGGTGGCAGAAGTAGGTTTGACAGCACCGGAGCTGGCCATGTATGATGTTTGATACATTTTGATTTGATACTTGATTCTGACTGCTTAAGTGCAATTCCACAGATGTGTGAACGAGCTTGGGGCATTTGGTGCCTTTGAATGAAGCCGTTGGTCCACAGCTTTGTGTTTGTTTTGGCATCGCCAAATTTTTGCGTCGCCTTTGCAACGCCAGGCCTGGCTGGCAGAGGGTCTAAGCAAGTCCACGGCAGACTGGCAAGTGGCTTTGACTCACTTCCCCTGTGGTCACGAGTCGAGCTTCTGGGCATCTGGGCCGCAGGCTGACAGCAGAGGCTGTGGCCGTCTGAAGTGTAGCGCCTTCAAAGAGTTTGAGGAAGATAACAGGTTTCACCACCATTTCTATCATTTAGTTTGGCCTAGCAGTGGTTGGATGCTGTTGTATGCACAGAAATGGAATCCCAAGGTCGGCATGCACCAGCAGCTTCTTGGCTGAGCATAGTCTACCCTCCTTGAACTTGACCTCGAACTCGAATTGGAAGCGGAACAGTTAGAACTCAAACTTGGAAGCATAGAAGGCCTCAAACTCGAACTAGTAGAGTGATGTTCGGGGCGTTCGGGCAGGTTCGCTTCTTTAGGGTTTCTTCTTCATGTTTTTGAGGTTGGATAGGGCTTGGCTTAGGGCTTGACTTCTAGGGTTTCGTTGGCTCTGGCTTAGGGCTTCACTAGCACCCCCCTCCCTCTCGAAACCACATCAGCCTCCGACTCGAACCCGAAGTTGAACTGCCTTGTCAGATACAATTGCTGCGTCGCTTCCAACAGCTTGGTCCAGCGATTCTCCGATTTTTCTCGCCTTGTAGGCACGGCTTGGACTTGTTGGTCACCGGACATCGGCATGACCAAGAACTCTGGAGCCCCAACAGGCCCGGTCGAAATTGGTTGAAAACAGTGGTGGTGGTCGGACAGAGTCCATCATAGGTCAGGCAAAACAGAACAACTCAAGAATGTGTCCAAGATACCAATAGGGGCACCTTGTAGAAATCATTTGTTTGATCACGTAAACTTGACCAGCTAGTGAAGCTCGAGCAGTTGGCTTTGTTGCACCCGAGGAGTTTCCACCCCAAATTCTCTTTCACAATACAGTTGGACCGTTTCGACCGTTTCCTGGTGAATTTCTCCAGGCTAGGCGGTCTGACTTGCTTCGTGACCGGTGGCGGTGGCGGCATCTCCTCAGAGGCCACGCCAAACATTCACAACAAGAGGGACTCCTGGCAGGAGGCCATCGCTTTACGTTGGAGGCCATCGCTATCAAATATAGGTTGGAGGCCATCGCTGTACGTTGGAGGCCAGCGCTATTAATATATAGGTTGGAGGCCATTGCTTTACGTTGGAGGCCATCGCTATTATATATACAGTATATATAGGTTGGAGGCCATCGCTATTAAAGGTTGGAGGCCATCGCTTCTAGGTTGGAGGCCATCGCTATGCGGTTCCTTTTGCTATTAGGTCGGAAGCTATCACTCTTAGGTTGGAGGCCATCACTTCTAGTTTGGAGACCATTGCTATTAGGTTCGAGGCCATCGTTTCTAGGTTGGAGGCCATTGCTTTACGTTGGAGGCCATCGCTATTATATATATATATACTGTAGGTTGGAGGCCATCGCTTCTAGGTTGGAGGCCATCGCTTCTAGGTTGGAGGCCATTGCTTCTAGGTTGGAGGCCATGGCTATTCGGTTCCTTTTGCTATTAGGTTGGAAGCCATCACTCGTAGGTTGGAGGCCATCGCTTCTAGTTTGGAGACCATTGCTATTAGGTTTGAGGCCATCGTTTCTAGGTTGGAGGCCATCGCTTCTAGGTTGGAGGCTCTTGCTTCTAGGTTGGGAGCCCCATGGCTATTAGGTTCCTTTTGCTATTAGATTGGTGGCCATCGCTTCTAGGTTGGAAGCCGTCCTTTTGCTAGTAGGTTGGACGTCATCCTTAGTAGGTTGGGGAAGCAGGAGACCAGAGGGTGCAAAACAGTGGGGATCGGGCCTGGGAAGAGTCGGAAGTGCGGGCATTGCTTAGGAGTGATGGAAGAGCTGTTGCTGGGGGCAAGCCGGGGTACGCCTGTTTTTAAAGCCAGGAAAGGTATATAAGCCTTTTTTTGGTCTTTAATCTTTGATGCCGGATACTAGGATCATGCCTTGAGTATTCGCTGGTTTCCTTTCCAGGGGTCTTACAGCAAGGATGTAATGGGGCACCGGAGTTTGGAGGTTTTGCAAACAGGTTTTGGTGTTCTGGAATCAAAAGAGATGGAGAGCTGTGGTGTCGTTTGATGCTTCAAGCAGAACGATTAGAATCCGCAGGACTATAGATGTGGTAATTACAACTGTGAGAGTCGACCTGAGGATTGGTACGGAGAGGCTCAATATGGATTTTATGACTTGTTGGTGTCGAAGAGCAACATCAAGATCACCTCCATCAACTGGATCCTTGGTCTGCAGCGAACTTGTTGAGCCCGTTGGTTCTTGTTTGCTGAAGTGCTCAGGAATGGATACGAGATCATGACTCGTACGGTCTATCCGAAGTGAGCCGCGTACCGTCTTTTGGCTTGCTTCAGCCAAAAGGGCTGCAGCTTTCAAGCATTTTTGTCGACCCAGAATCTGACAAGGAACTGATGCAAAACATCAATATGCTTCCGAACTGTTCCCTGCTCTGATACAACTTGTGTGCAGGTTTCAACTCATTTCGTTTGCAAATCAATCCAGGCACCCATCCTTCCTACCGCCCGCACCAGTCTGCGCTAGTGAGAATAGCATATATTAGGAACGATTCTGCGCCAAGGTCCCTCCAGAAATTGGGGTCTCCTAATGGAGTAAAGAAAAATAGAGGAAACAAGAAGGTAAAGGCCTCTAAAACAAGGCTCCTTCTTGCCTCTCTTTTTCTTTTCCCAACCTGTCAATCTCATCATTGGCTTCGGCTTCCAACTTCTGGACCGAGGCCGTGACGAGGTCTCGGCCGTGGTTGGGGATTTCTTCGGCCTAAAGACCTGCGCAGCCCTTTTCAGTGCGCCGGGAGCCAAGAGACCGGATAGATCCGGAGTGTTAAAAAAGTTGCGATTGCGATGTAAGCAACATACCTGAAGCAGGCTTCTTTTTTCCAGACTATCGAGAGGTAGAGATTCGGTTGAGCGTTATGTTATGTCTGATTCATTCGAACAAACAAATGACAAGAGCAAGTCTGAGTCCCAGAGACATTTAAAATTGCAGGCGTGTGAAATGCAGGTCCCTTTCTCACCTGCAAGATGCTGCAATCTACTTTCCACACCTTTCACAACTCTGGCTGTACCTAAGGTTTTGTAGCAGCCTTCTGATCGGAAAGATGGGCTCACGGTCTGCGCCAGACTGCCTTGTCTTGGTCGCGCCTCACTCCATGTGTCTGGCGGATTTGGAATGCGCCAGGCTGCGAGTCTACGCGTGCGCACCGATCCTGATGCTTGCAGGAATAGGCCAAATGAACCTGACTTGGACGACATGGAGAGAGAACCGTTATGCAACCCAACTTGTGACGAGCAACTCTAGCGGAGTATTTGAGTGTAGGATTCAGTTCTTTGTCAGCATTGTTGCCGGAAGGTCGTTGTGAGCAGGCTGGCGGAGCTTGTGCCTCGGTTCTTTCTGAAAGGCACATGTGGGATTGATGCAACTGTCTAGGAAATGGCCTTCGTTTTGTCGGAGCAGACCAGGCCGAGCCCTGAGCCAAGTCTTGACGACATCAGTGTGGATGATCTATCCCAAAGAAGAGCTAGCTATGGGGGCTGGTCCTTCAGCTTCGTATTCTAAGTGAGGATGAACGTTAGTGGACTCTTTCTTGTCCACTGAGATTCCTCGTGTTTTCTAATTTGTCTCTATGCTCCATACAGAGAGTGATTGCATTGCACTATCCATTACCAAAGCAGGTCTTGGGCCGCGCAGAACCCCGTGCCAATTCCTGCTCCTTTGAGTCACACAAGCGGATTGCCTCTGCCTGAGAGTCTTTTGCAGGGGATTTCTCAGATGTTCTACCAGGTTCGGTTCAAGATGGTTTCTTTCAGCGACTTATTTCATTTAAGTTTTGAAGATCATTTCCAGGTCCGAACTTCTGCAGAACTTCTTGGGCAACCCTGCATTGTGGGGCCCCTTGCTTTTTTTGGTGGTCTACAGTGCAGGAGTGCAAGTGTGGAGAGAACTAGTGGGCACCATGCAAACACTTACTGTAGAAGTTTGGAATGGGCCAGCCTTTGCAGGACCGGGCTATGATGATAGCCTATATTTTTTCTATATCAATCGGCCAGGAACCCAGCAAAAGCATGATGCAGGAAAGGTCCACTTCCAACAAAAGGGACAGATACCCACAGCAGGAAGCGCATCCGGACTGTTTTGGGGTCCAAAAGATTTGAGGTGAATTTGATGCTTCCAATCGAAAGATCTGGACACACCCAGGTTGAGATTTCGTCCCACAGCTGTGGGACGGCTTAAAATGGCACAGGACTTTGGGGTGTTGTTTAGGTCTCAAAGAAAAACACCCAAGCGACAACGAAGTTGCAGGAGCTCGCAAAGCTCCTTGGGATCTTGATGTACCGCTACGGCTTGCCTCGCGCCCAGTTTCAAGTGTGCGAAAAAGCGACTCATCTTTTCATGCGTTGCATTCAAACTGCGCATTTGGGCCTTTTCAAGGCGGCGCATCCCAGATAGGCAGTTGGTGGTTGGGCTTACAGCAGTAGGGAAGCTCGGAACAGCAAGCTGGCACTCGTGCCTCAGAGTGGGTGGGTTTGCACGCCTCACAAATCATTACACGGCTCAAGCCGGATAGAGCGGGTGCCCAGTTCTGAAGATTTCGGGTCGGAATTGTTGAGGTGTCCTTGCCCTTGTATTTGACACCATTGCTGCTCACCACTGGTGCTTATCATAGTTTGGAGCTCGGCATCCTTAATGAATGAGAGTAGTGATGCAGTGACATGGCCGTGACTGTCTTTGCGACTTGGCTAATTGCTGGGGCAGGCTTTCCTGTCAGCCCGCAGACCCTCGCTGTGTCTGGCGAGTTAGTTCGAGAGGTGGTTCTGCACATGCAGGTGCACGCGGTGTGAGGATGTGGGTTGGGAATTGGAAGTCTACTAGGGGCTCCTGGCATCGCTACTAGGAGCAAGGACGCTACTAGGGGCTCCTGGCCTTACTA